AACACGAACTCTGACGATTCCAGGTTCAGAACTCCCCCCCCCCACCACCCCAGAAGGTAGATGCTGGTCTCACCTGAGTGTCACTATGATGGCTGATGGCTGGGCACACGCTGTAATGAAGGTGACGATGAACAGAAAAACTAAGAACGGGATAAGGGTGTTACAGGTTCGTTTACATTTCCCGGACACAGCGTAGCCGTTCTCGTTGAGATACGTTTTGACGATAACCACGCGGACCTGACTTCGCTGCCCCACCGTGGGTGGGGTGATGACTTGTCGGCTTTGAACACAGGTGCATTCTGTATAATTTCGTATCTAAACAAGCACAACAGAAATTAGTCGAATGCCAATCAAAAGCAAAACGTGGTATAGGAATATGCAGATGAATTTAAATAAAAATGCTCGAAAATAACTCTAGTATTTAAAAGTGCAATTATTATAATACGGCCTAGAAAGTGCTGCCTGAACAACTGAAAAACATTGAGAATGCCTTCCTCACTGAGGACAGTGAGAGTCTGAAGTGTGCATCTAACGATACCAAAACATCCAAAGTGTTTAAACCTCAACTGTTCTAAGAAGCTTTCGGAACTCCATTCTAGAACATTCCCATTTCGTGTGCTCATTTTTGGTATAATGATATGCTGCCAGGTTTGCTAATTCTTAGCCTTTCTAATTATAGAAGCCCCTCAACAAGAGACACCAAACCTTATTTTATTACTCACCAAAACTACTACAGCCCTGAGCACAGTGAGCCCTGAGGTAAATGTGTGTTGTATAAATGTGAATCAAATTTATAATGCAACCACACTGACTTCGGTGGCAACAGTAGTGAATAGCTCATTGGCTATACTGTTTTAAATGCTTTTCACCCCTTTAATTAGCTGGTGACCTGAATAGCCTGCCCATTGGTTGTAAGTGAGACCTGGCTCCTGTGGCACCTCTCTGGTGGGGCTCCCAGGCTCTGACAGAAGACAAGCTGTCTGGGAACCCTTAGGAGCTTAAACATACTTGTTCATTTCTCCCCACAAATAGTTAGGAGCCCCTAACAGCCGTTCCAGGAGCCATTCTGGGGAACTAAGGCCACAGAAGAGAGAAAGAGGCCAGATCTTTTCTGTAAACTAAAAATATTGTACTCGAAGTCGATACAAAAGTGAAAAATGAAACATTGGGGGCTACCCCACACCAAAATAAGCCAACACATGCTAAATCAGCCAGTTAACGCTCCCGGGTATTACAGTCTTTCATTGAATGGACACTTACAGCAGCTGTCAGAACAGGTAGAAAAATGGGGTGCCATTTGGCCACCTGTTCTCCCTTTATAAAAGAACAAGTGCTGCACGCAGAGGGCCTATGCTCTCCTGAAGAAGGACCTAGCCACCTAGAAGGCCAGACCTCACTAACTCTTCCTGCCCAGACACACACAGGGGCACAGCAGTGACATGGGGACCAGCAGCAGGGACCTCAGCTTACCACTGTAGTGTGGGAGGTGAAGTAAGACAGTTTGGGGCATTTTCTAAAACCTCTCTTGGCCAAAAGGGCATGAGAAACTGGGCTGCAGTCACATTTCCCCTGTTTCTGGATTTTTTTGGTTTTGGTTTTTGGTTTTTGCCTCAGGACATGTGCACTTGCCAGAGAAAGACAGAGAGAGAGAAAGAAATCACCCCCAGGGGTATGGCCACACCACAATACCTTCTCCTCTTGGGATTTTTGGGCGCACATGAACACACGCCTGGCATGATTTTCAAGTCACTAGGTCTGAGACTTGAGCCATGGTCAGCCATGGGGGAGTTCAGCACCTTAACTACCACACCACCTGCGGACCCCTGTTTCCAAACTTTTAAATATACATTCTTTCCAAGTAAGTGCTATCATCCCCCTGAAATAGTTTGCACCACACCTTGTGATGTATGTGTTACGAAGAACATGCAGACCCTAAAGCTAATCATAAGATTGTCAGGCTTCCCTCTTCCTCCCAGCTTGTGGAAGAGCTTTGCACACCCGGGCTTTCCTTCCTACAAGGCATCTTGTCACCTTGCTGCACCAATCGAAATTCTTGACAAACAACTGATGTTATCCCCTCCCTACTTGTCTTTTTTTTTTTCCTTAAAAGCTGTTTGATGGGGGCCACGATGTAGTATAGTAGTTAAGGCACTGGACTTCCACAGGGCCTACTGCAGTTCGAGTCTCAGACCCAGCAGCTTAAAAATCATGCCAGGCAAGTGTGTGTGTGTGCATGCCCCAAAATCCCAGGAGAGGAATGAAGGAGAAGGGATTGCAGTGTGGCCATCTCCTCTGGGGAGTGATTTCTCACTTTCTCTCTCACTGTCGCTCTCTGTCTCTCTCTTCTGTCGCTCTCTGTCTCTCTCTTCTCCAGTGAGTGCAGGTGCTTTAGGGCAAAAACCTTAAGAAAAAAAAAAAAAACTGTTTGATGAGGGGCAGCCAGGTGGCATGGTGGTTAAGACAGCTGGATCCCACAAGGCCAACAGTATGTTTAAGTCCCAGACCTGGTGGCTGAAAAAATATGCTGGGTGAGTGTGCCTGTGTCCAGAATCCTGAGAGAAGAATGGAGGAGATGGGATTGAGGTATGGTCATCCTCCCTGGGGGGTGCTTTCTCACCACCCCCTTCTTTCTCTCTGATGAGCACACATGCCCAATAGCAAAAAAAAAAAAAAAAAAAAAAAACACCTGTTTGATGGTCCTGCCCACTATTCTGGTGGTGAAGATATCCAAATCTCACCTGGCCAAGCACACTGGTCAACTCCTGACCCTAAAGGCTTGAAAAAAACCTGCCAGGCTTGTGTGCATGCATACCCCCAATCCCAGCGGGGTGGAGAAGTGGAAGAGAAGGGATTGCAGCATGACCTCTCTCCACTAGGACATGCTTTCTCCCTCTTTCTTCCTCTCTCTCTCTCTGATGAGCACATGCACCCCTCAACAATTTTAAAAATAAAGAAAGAAACAAACAAACAAAACAACTGATTGTAAACTCTAAGGCCTTGGGACACTTATTCAAAGCTGTTTAATTCTGTACCTCTTGGGTTGCAATTTTTACCATCCCAAATAAACTCTGCTGTTTCATTAATTTTGTGCTCTGTTTCTGTAAGAGTGGTCAAGTTTAAAAGTCAGATAAAAAAATGACATCCCCCAAATATTTGTTCGATGGTATACTCCTTTATCACCTGTACAGAACAAGCAGATACATTTTAACTTTTTAATTAAAGCAACCTCCTACTGCCTGTTATTACGCAAAGAATCAAACCAGGCTCAACAAAGAACTGAGTAGTATCTGACAACCTTCTCCTGAAGTATTACCACCTATTTATAATTTATGGGGAGGCAATTCTCAAAATAGCCTATTCTTGAACTGACAGAAATATCTTTACTCTGAAAGTTAGGAAAAAAAAAAAAAAAGTCTGAACTGAACTGAGAAATCTTTGAAAAATGGCCCCCATCTTCACAGACTCCAGTCAGGGGAGGTGCTTTCCTGTTCTCTTCTATCTGCACCAAATGTGGTCATCTTGACCTTCAAACCTATCACAAGGGCCCTGTCAGAGGAACAGCCGAAGGCCTGGAGCTCAACCTTATCACATTTCGCTGAGTTGGCACAGAACACAAAGTAGGAGAGGCTGATACAGAACCACGGGGCTCCACGCAAATGCTCTCATCGTCTCTGGGAAGAAATGACAGACTGCGTACTTGCCCTTCCCTTAGATTTTGTCAGAGGTGTTTGGAAGGAACCTTTTGAGAAAAGAGACGGAAGCCATCATGGTTGCATGTGAATTCTGTCACGTCCCTGTCACAGGAGGCTGGATGAACAACAGAAGAGGAACTTGCGAGCCATACTCACCCCGGTGCTCAGATTACCGCTGTTAACACAGCCAGCCAGACAGGGGTTAAAATATGTAATTCCATCTGACCCACAGACTGGCTCATACTCATGGATTTTACAACCACAATTCACATTGCAGCTTCCTGTCAGGTTCCTGTGAGGCATGGTGAGAGAGGGTCTGAGAGAGAAAAGAAACAGATCATGAAAGGTCTTTTAAAATAGCACTAATGGGAAAGCTCTTTCAGTTGAGTCACTTGTCCATTTCAGAGACGATATGCCCCAGTAAAATCAAAGCTATGGTACCATGAAGTAGGTACCCTTGATAATCGTTTTTACAGCTTTAGAACAAAAACCATAGAAAACAGTTTCAACTTTCTAATACTATGGATTCAATACTTCTCATCAGTTATCTAGCCCGCCTCCATTTTTTGGTTTTTTTTTTTTGGTTTTTTTGGGGTTTTTTTTGGAGAGGTCTTTGCTATAGGGCACGTGCGCTCGCCAGACAGAGAGAGACAGAGAGACAGAAAGTGAGAAATCACCCCTCAGGGGGGATGGCCATGCCGCAATCCCTTCTCCTCCATTCTCCTCTCCGGATCTTGGGCACGCACGCACACGCCCCCAGCATGAGTTTTAAGCCACCGGGTCCAGGATGCGAACCGCGGTCAACTACGTGGGAGTCCAGCAACATAGCCATTATGCTAACTGCTGGTTCCCATAGCCTGCCTCTGTTTTAGCCTGCATTTTGGTGCTCTGGTCTCAATGACTGCACTCCGCCATTCTAACCCTTCCATAACTGCACACGTACTGTGGGCACTTGGCTATGTCTTAACAAATCTGGACCCCAATTTCTTTCTTTTTTTTTTTTTCTTGGAGAGATTTTCGAGAACCGCGGTCAACTACGTGGGAGTCCAGCGACATAGCCATTACGCTAACTGCTGGTTCCCTCTTGGAGAGATTTTCGAGAACCGCGGTCAACTACGTGGGAGTCCAGCGACATAGCCATTACGCCAACTGCTGGTTCCCGGCCTCAATTTCTTTAACTGCAAAATGAAGGAACTAGATCAGGACCAAAGTTTCAGTAGCCAATCAGTAACCTCATTGTGAGCACATAAACAAGGTTTCCACCAATCAACAGTTATCAATACAGGTTCCTTTGGCCAAAAACTTTCATTGCCCTAGAATTATCAAAGAAAATTATGAGACCCCAGGAAATGAAAAGGAAGTGATTTTCAAAAGTAATCAGGAATCAGAGCTCTCGTTTGATTCAAATGACCTGAGAAAGAAAATTAAGCAGTTCTTCATGGAAGAAGATGTGATTCCGATCACAGGATAGAGATTCACAATCAAACATAATGGGTTTGTTTCCTCAGAAGCTCATAGTGGCTGATACAAAGAAATAATACAATAGGATAAGCTCTAAGAAAGTCAGCTGAGGGCCCAGCAGGCGGCGTGGTGGTTAAGGCACTGGTTACTCCCACATGACCAACCACCAACCATTGTTCAAGTGGCCTTGGTGCCTTGCTTTCTCTCTCTCTCTCTCCCTGTCTCTCTCTCTCTCTCTTTCTCTCACTCTCTTTGTGTCTCTCTCTGGTCAAATTAAAAAATAAATGAATGAGTAAAAAAAAATTAAATAAAAAAAGAAAATCCATTGAGGGATGAGCACATGGACTAATGGTTATGTTGCTAGACTCCCACATGTCTGACCATGGTTTGAGTCCTGGACCCAGTGGCTTAAACTCATGCCAGTCACATGTGCATGCATGCCCAAGATCCCAAGAGGAGAATGGAGGAGAAGGGACTGCGGCATGGTCATCTCCCCTGGGGAGGAGTGATTTCTCACTTTCTGTCTCTCTGTCTCTCTCTCTGTCTCTCTGGAGAGCACACACGACCTATAAAGACAATCTCTCGAAAAAAAAATAAAATCAGTTGAGGCAACAGATATCAGGAGGAAAAGGGCAGGTCTGGATATAGGCCTGAGTGGAGACATGGATACTGGCAGTGAGAGAGCAGAGACAGGCAGGAACCCAGGCGGAACCCCGGAGAATGAAAGGGGCTCCACAGTTCTCACTCACAGTGGGCTCTTTGCTTTGGGACCACCATGTTTATGAGTCACTGACAAAATCATGTTCCCAACGCTACATGAGTGGACAAGAGAAGTCCTCCATTTATCCATTATCCATCCAGTCAACATAAATGGTGGAACGTTTCGATGTGCCAGACAGAATGTACCTTTTTTTTTAGACTTTTTTTTTTTTCCATAGGACATGTGCACTTGCTGGACAGAAAGAGAAAGAGAAAGACAGTGAGAGGAAAAGTGAGAAATCACTCCCCAGGAGGATGGCCATGCCACAATCCCTTCTCCATTCTCTCGGGATCTTGGGCATGCATGCACATGTGCCTGGTGTGAGTTTCAAGCTGCCTGATCTGGGACTCATACCACGGTTGACCACATGGGAGTCCAGCACCTTAACCACCATGCCACCTACTGGCCCCAAGGACTTATCTTTAATGACTATGTTGGTATCACCTATCCAGTAACACAGCCCATCACAACCACATGAATTCATCTTTGAATGTAAAGCATTGTTTATTCAAAGAGTCGTCTTCTACGGCCTCTATTATACTTGGTAACTGAGTTCTCAAGTTTTATTGCCAGAAACAAGCTCAAAACAACATCAAAGTATTAATTATAAAAAAAGTTTCTTATAAGGCAAAAGTCAAATGAATTGTTTTTCATTCATGCTGCTATGCAGAAAAGAAAAAAAAGTCACAAAACTTTAATAATCAAATTACAGTGTCATGCTCAACACACTAATATCAAAATGACTTAAAGTTTTAATATATCTAAAAAAAAATAACAAATCCAGACCTATGGTTCTCAGCTGGGCACTTGTGATCCCATCCCTCCCAGGACATCTGGCAATGTTAGGAGATAGCCTAGACTGTTCCAACTAAGTGTGTGTGTGTGTGTGTGTGTGAGTGTGTGAGTGCGTTGTGGGGGTAGGAGGAGACTATTGGCATCTGGCTGGCAGAGGCCAAGGAGGCTGCTAAGCATCCGACAAGATTCGAACCATCTCTCCACCTCCAAAAGCCCAGTTGTCAGTGCTGAGGTGAGAATTCTGTTCTGGACCAACTGCCACATGTTACAGGTGACAAAATGGAGGGCCGAGGAGGCCACGCGATGCACTGGGAAGCTGGTTCGTGCCGCGTTAACTACTCACAGGAGGAGTCAGTGTGCATCAGCGTTCTCTTTATCAGCCTTTCAAGAACTGCCCTGCGAGCCATAATCAAATAAAAGGGCTATTACATGTCTGCATGCTTAGTCACTAAAAATGACAGGCCTCCGTACCACACCAATGGTTATTATCGTGGCTATTTAGAGGTTATATGGCATTTCCCATTACAGCATGTTTTGCACTCATTTATCACAGCCACAATTCCAAATGCTTCTCCTTTACCACTACATCCACTCAAGAGGAAGGAACCTAAAGAAAATACCAACACAGGCTCAAAATACACTGATTTAGGAAGGCAAAAGGTTTTCCTAAGTTAAGGAAACAAAGACACAGTCCCAGATCTCTGTTGGGTATGTTTGCATTTCTCATGAGATCAGGGTCTGATAAGAAAAAAAAATACAATATAAAAAGCTATAAGAAAGTGAATGCAAGCAACAAATATAGATAATAAAAGGAAGCGAATACTCATAAAAAAAGTCATTAGGGGAAAAGATGATTGTGGCTTAAGAAGGAAAGCTGTTGATATTGTTAATCCTTTACACTTTACTGATTACAAATGAAATCATTTTTAAAACTAATAGAACTGAGGCCAGCAGGTGGCGTGGTGGTTAAGGTGCTGGACTCCCACATGTCTGACTGTGGTTTGAGTCCCAGATTCTGGTGATTTGTTGTTTTCACACTTTCTCTCTCTCTCTCTCTCTCTCTCTCTCTGGTGAGAGCATAGGTCCTATAGTAAATTTAAAAAAAATAATAATTACAATTAATAAAATAAAATGACTAATTATTTTAAAAAGAAGAATAGAATCTCATTTCCTTGTCAATCACTCTCCAGAAAGCAGACTGGATTCTAAAAGTAGTGCCAGTGTTTAAATCTGGATAACAGTAAGCAACCTCCCCTTAGCCTGAAGGGGACCCATCACAAGAGCATAAAATGCAAAAGGGCTACTTACCTTATGCTACACTTACGCTCATGCAAAGGGACTGACACCACTTTTCCAATAAACAAAAGCATTTCTAACAAGAGTCTTCCAAACAGAAGGGTCATAACAACTCATGATTCAATGTGTGTTAGTTCCAAGGGAGGCTGAGTCTCAGCAGCAAATACCTTTAAACTACGTGGTTCAAGCTGCAAGCCTGAGTGTCACTCCCAATATCCTCCTCTAAGAACCCGAGATGGAAGGGCTCTCAGAGAGTAGCTAGTAATTTTACTAATTTTAAAGAATAGGACATTTTTAAGAGGTGTAGTAATGAGAACCATAATCATTATCACTGGGAAACTAACCTTGGTGAGAAAGCAAAAAAGGAAATAACAGGCCAGCAGGTGGTGTGGCGGTTAAGGCACTGGATCCCACATGACCAGCTTCAAGGTTTGAGTCCCAGGCCAGCAGCTTGAGAATCATGATGCGTGCAGGTGCATGCATGCCCAAAATCCAGAGAAGAGGTGGAGGAGAAGAGATTGCAGTGTGGCCATCCCCTCGGGGGGGGGGGGATTTCTCACTTTCTCTCTCATTCTCTCTGTATCTAGCAAGTGTACATGCCCTATAGAAAACTAAAAACTAAAAAAAAAGGGAGTAAGATGAAAAAATAACTATCTTCTTACTCTATCTTTATAAAATCAATCCTTTAAGGGTCAATGTTACTTAAAATAATATATAATAAGCCAGATTGCTGTCTAACATACATAAAAATTATCTGTGCCATAGGGCCATTATAGCTGATTATGTAAGAGCACAGTTTACTACAACACACACACACACACACACACACACACACATGCACACCTGCAATTGTGTCCCATCATGCTACTTCAGGACCTAAAAGACCTTGAACTTCTCCATCTAACATGATTTTCCTGGTCTTTAAAATCGAAGAGAAGCTCCTTAACCATCTTTCTGCCTCCTCAATTTTTTCTACTATAAGATAGGACAAGCAGGAATCCACA